GGCGAAGCGCACGACACAGGTGGACAGGGCGAGAGGCGCAGGCGGCCCGGCGCGCCGGTAATCCTCGTAGCCGCGGCCGCCCCAGCCCGGGCCCCCTGCCCCGGCCAGGGGCTCTGAAGGCTCCGGAATCCCCGTGAAAGGTAGGAGTGGAGGGAAGCTCTGCGGAACGAAGGGACAGGAGAATAGGTCAGTGGGGTCTGTGATCCCCAACATTCCACCACCATCCATTCCGTACTTAGAAGATCCGAAATTCTAAAGACCCAGCCACAGGCCTCATTCATCCTAGGATCCTGTCCTGGGATCCTGACTGCGTGGGTCTGGTATTCAGAGTTCTAATACTCCAGCCCACTCCTCTCCCAAAGACAGAGGAAGTCTAGAGACCGACAGAAGAATCCAGGAACCAAGCCCACACACCTTAAGGACCCAGTGGTCCAGGCTCTCAGTCTTGCCCTCTAAAGATCCGAGATCCCAGCCCCCAGCCCCCTCTACTCTCAGATTCGGGAGTTCTGGACCCCAGCTATCTCCTCCTTTAGGACGCGAGAGTCTGGTCCCCAGATCCTTTTTACCCCCTTAGATACCAAGCCCCACCCTCGTGAATTAAACAGGCTAAAGCACTTCTTCCATTTGTACCAGCAACCCGCTAATGTGCTCAAAGTCGTCCCCTAAACCCCTGTGGAATTCAGAACTTTCCAATCTCCAAGAGCGCAGGAGACACAGGAAGCCCTCACCCAACCTTCGGAAGAACCAAGGCCTCCAAGCTCCCCACTCCCCATGTCACGTCAGCCATCCAGTAGGATCTGTTTGTGGTTTCTCACCCCTCTTCTGCCTCAGCTCCCGCCCACTTCGGGACTCCAGCGCGCCCTGCCCCATCCCAGGCCCCATTCCACCCTGAGCCCCAGACTTCTGCTGGGGTCGGAGGTCGCACCTGAGCAGACGAGCGGCGGCGCTGGGGGGGCGTGGCTGGCCCGAAGCCCGAAGCTGACTCCACCGTGACGATGGGGGCCGCCGCGGCGGTTGGAGGTGTCTCCTGGCGGCTGTGACTGGAGGAGGAGTCGCTATCCACGTGGGACTGGGGGAGATTGGCGGCCTCAGAGCCGGGACCCCTGGCACAGCCGATGCCCTTACACAGACCCCCTCCCATTGTGAGCGAGGGCTCTGCGGCCAGACAGGCCTGGGTTCAAGCCCCGGCTCTGCCACTGACTGGTTGTGTGACCTCCGTCAAGTGAGCTCATCTCTCTGAGTCTCAGTTTCCTCCTCTGTAAAATGAGGATCATAATAGTGTCTATTCATAAGGATGTGGTTAGGACCCACTGTAAAGGGCAGAATACATGCCTGAAGTACAGGAAGAGCTAGAAATGGTTAGGGTTGTTATTATTTGACCCCCTCTTCTTATCTGCTCAGCTCACCAACCTACAGAACATCAAATCATCCTCCCTTCTCAGAATCCCTTTTCAATGGCCATCAGTTGCCTTCCTGCCTCATTGGGGGAATTTCTACCCACCTGGAATGCTTTCCTTCCCATCCAAACCAAGCTCTGGCCTTTACAAGCTGAAACATCACTTCTCAGACCCTCAGTTTCCTTTCTGTAACCTGGGAATCATTCCTACCTCATCCACTTACTATCTTCAGTAAACATTCATTGAGCACCCACGACATGCCAGGCTCACAAAGGCCATTGTGAGGATGTGAGATGAAGCAGGGAAAACACAGCTTCTTTCCTGAGTAAGTGCTCATTAAGTGGTACCTGTCTCTGTGACTTCTGTAGACCCACTGGCATCTCCCACTACCCTGGGAATCCTCCTTTTCTGCCCAGGGAACCAGTTCTGTTCCTCCAAGTGTTCTCCCACTGTTCCCAGCAAGTGCCAAATTGAATCCGACATTACGTGCATTTATTCATTCAATCAATTTATTCAACACATATTTACTGAACACTTACTGTATACCAGGCACTGTTTTAAGCATTAAAGATGCAGCAAGAAAGCAACAAAAAGATCTTTGCCCTCCTGGAGCTGACATTCTAGCATGGCAGATGGACAGTAAAGTAATAGATAAGAAAACTGTCTATTGGGAAAGGAAATAGGGAAAATAATCTTATAAGATGGGGGAAAATTAGAGCAGAATAAGAAACCCTGTGAGACTGCAACTTTAAACAGGTTACTCAGGGAGGCCCTTACTGAAAAGGCGATATGTGAGTAAAGCCCTAAGGAAATAAGCCAGGTGGAAATATGGGGAAGAGTGTTTTAAGACAGAAGGCTGGTCAGTACAAAGGCCCTGAGACAGGAAAGTGCCTGCCCTTCTGGAGTAAGAGTGAGGAGGCCAGTGTGAGCATGAGGAAGAGTAATTGGAGGCCAGATGGTGTGGGATCTTCTGAATCACTCTGAGGACTTTGTCCTTTACCATGAGTGAGATGGAGCCTGGTAGGATTCTGAGTGGGAGATGACCATGAGCTGACTTAGATGTTAATAAGGTCCCTCTGGCTAGCTGTGGAGAAAAGAGCTGAGGAAGGCAATTGATGATGAGAAGCTGATGAGATGGTCCAGCTGGGAGATGAGGCTGGACTGTAACCAGGTTAGAGGCACATTCTGAGCATTTTGAAAGTGGAGCCAATACTTGCTGACAGATGAGGGACATAAAAAAAGCAGAGGAGTCAAGGATGGCTCCAAAGTTTGTACCTCCTAGTGAGTAACTAGGAGGATGGATTTCCCATTAATTTGTTCATCCATTTACTTCCAATATTGATTCATTTTATACTGTACCTTAATTTTTTTTCTGCCTTTTCACACTAGAATTGAAGCTCCACAAGAAAAGGGACTTTGTTTTGTTCACTGATGTATCCCCAGTGCTTAAAACACGACTTTGTTGAAGGTGTTCAATAAATACCCTTGAATGAATGTGTAAATCATGATAGAATAGAAAACCTGGAATAATTGGGATTGAAATTGACACAAATAGTTTGGGCCCCAATTTGTGTCCCCAGCAAGTGGCATGGTGCTGGATACACAGTAGGTGCTCAAGAATGTTTGTAGGATAGAAATAAACCCCTGCCCTCCCAGCAGAGCTGCACCTGAAGACTCACCGTCAGAGGGCAGGGAGTCTCTGCGGTGTCCTGGGAAGGGGAGGAGGAAGAGGAGGAGGAGGAGGGGGTGAGCGAGCCTGGGGCAGGGAGAGAGGCAGACAGTGAGTCCCTTGGGCCCACTTTCCCCCACCCCTCCACCCTAGCCCCCAGTGCCCACCAACTGGGCCACTCACCTCGACCCAGTGCGGCCAGCGCAGCCAGCAGGCTCTTCTGGAATTCATCAGCCTCTGCAGGACTCTGAAACGTCAGCCCGAACTTGCAGTCACCCAGGCTCCAGTGATGGAAGATGGGGTTCACCTTGTTGTAAACCAAGCCTGGCCTCAGGGTACACTCCAAGGTGGTCTGAGGGGGTAGGAGGGGGCCAGGTCAGACATTCCCTTCCAGCCATGCCCGTGACTTCCCGTCAACCCCAGGCTCTATGCCAAAGCACCCCCACAAACCTCATTTCTCAATCCTAGGTGTATCCTTGAACACTGACCAACACCCCAGTACCACTCAGTTTTATTGAGCACACCTCTGACAGACCAGTTTTTTTTCCCCAAACCCCCGATCTCTACATTTTCTTAACACCCCCCTCTCATATCTCAATAGGAATCTCAAATTTTATTGAATGTCTCAAAAAATTAGTTCACCTTCTGATAGCCCAATGTCTCCCATTTGGCCTAACAGTACTCCCCAAACTTCATTAAACAGCTCAAAATATTATTGTTAGTCCCCTTCTGATGTCCCGTAATCTCCCAAAAGACTACCTGCAAGTTCTTATCAAACACCCACAGCCTTGCCCTCAGATGCCAGTCAGCACCTGAGGTGTTCCCTTGTATCCTTGTCCAACATCACTTTATTCCTTCACACCATTTCAAATCCCCCCTACACTGTTCCTTCCAACTCCTGTTCTGAAAGACAACCCTACCCCAAGCCTTTTCAAACCATCCAAATCTTTCTACTACATCCTCAGCTGAAACGTCAACATTCTTCTTCCAAATCATGCCAGTCAGCCCAGAATATTCCTGATCAACCCATAATAGGATTGTAAACCCTATTTGACACTTCCAGATGGCCCCCTACCAAATGCCTCCATATACTTAGGGCAGATAGGGGCTAGTGGTGTCAGATCCTCGTAGCAAGGATCTCTGAGCAAGATGGAGCCACGGGGAGGGCTCTGAGCAGAGGAGAGATGTGATCTGAGTCAGGTGTTAGCACAGCCCCTGTGGAACAGACTGAGGTTGGGGGAGGGAGCAGGAGCAGGGCAAGGACACCAGTGAGGAGGCTGCTGTGACAGTCCAGCAGGGCAATGGCAGTGGACAGGACCTGCTTAAAACCCCCAATAGACCACAAAACGCCCAACTGTTATCCAGAAGACAGATATTCACTTCCAACTCCATCCCACAGCCCCGGTTTGATTCGAGCTGGGAGATGACCTGACCTCACCTCTGCATTCCCAGCCCCATTCCCCTACTTCCCCACGCCCCCACCCTACCCCCACGCCCCAGGGTGGCTCACTTTCTGGTCCCGGAGGCGCTCCCCGTGGATGACGTAGTGCCCCTGGCGGGCCCCCCCCTCGGGCCTGGCCCCTCGGACCCGACATACGCTCACCTGGCTGAGGCCCCCGCCCCCCACAGGCAGCCAGCCCCCACTGGAGTCATCTCGGGCCATCACCACGGCTCGGACCCGAACCATGTACCTGGAAGAGATGGGAGGACAAGGACAACATGGTCAGTAAGCGCCAACCCTGCTCTCCTATTTAGTGTCCCCCCAACCTTCATCTCCTCTCTTCATTTCTCGCAGCTGGATCTCCGGCACCCTTAGCCACCTCCTCCCCATGCCCACCTTCTCCCCCCATGCCCACCTTCTTCCACTATGGCTTCTTTCTTCCTCTGGCCCTCTCTTTTCTCCCATGCCTACCTTCTTCTCCATATCTACCATTTTTCTCCATCCCCACCTCTCCTCCCTTTCCCCATCTTTCCCATCCCCACCCCCATAGCTTCGCTCTTCCACTTCCCTTCCTCCTCCTGCTCATCCCCTATCAACCCTGTCTCCTTCTCCTCCCTTAGCACGTACCCACAGCCCCACCCATCGTCCCCCTCACAGCTGGGTGCCTGCGCATATGTATTTTCTTAGAGCCCTTCAACTCAGCTCCAGTTCCCCCTACACTGCCTCCGCACCCTGCCGCCCAGGCCACTGGCTGGGTGAGAAACCCAGGCTCTCTTCCCCCCCACCCCTTCCCGGATTTATGAATGAGACCGGATGCAAAGCTCACTGAGTCACCCGGCAACGGGAGATGGGCAGGGAGCAGGGAGAGAAACAGAAATGGCCAGATACAGGCCAAAAGGGAGATGGAGGCAGAGGAAGCCAGAAACAGGCGACCGAGACACCAGAGAGCATTTCATTCACAAAAATCAAGCCTGCTCCCTCAGGCCCCTGCCAAGGAAAGGCAAGGGGGAGAGATTGGCGGGGCCGGGGGTTGGGGTTTGATCCCTCCTCCTCCCCCTCCCCGCCCCAGCATCCTTCAGAACCATCTTACCCCGCCCCCTGGCTCAGGGGACGCAGCCCTCCGCCCAGTAATCGGGATCAGCGTCCAACTCCTCACTACCACCTAGCGCAGGGACCCTGGTGCCCCAGCCTTAGGGACCCAGGCAAAGAGCTCTAGCCCCTTCCCCCACCTGCAGGCTGCCGGGTTTCCCCAGCACTTGGGGAGGGGAAGGGGCGGCCGCAGCGCCCCCAGCCCCCTTTTCTCAATGGGATGGGATTTTGTGAATGAGCAGTCACGTGACGCTGCTTCCTTTGTCCGCCCGCCTACCCCGACAACAGGTGAAGCAGAGAAAGAGGGTTGGGGTCCCCCTCAAGGCCTACTGGGATGGGACGCTGGGATTTCTAGGTGCCCTACGCTCCCCACATGTCTGTTTTCCGGGGGGAGTGGTCCTTAGAGTTCCTCAATGGTGGGGGTCCAGTACGGAATTTTATGAATGGGGCGTCCTCGGAGGAAGGCCAGACCCCCAAATGGAGACTGGTACCCCAAATGGCTGCCGCACATTTTGGGGGCCCCCACCCCCTTGTCCTTCCAGCCAGGGTCTGGGGGGCGCCTGGGTGGGTATGGGCCGCAGCGAAGTCCTGGCCACCCCCTCACCGTGACAGGCGGTCTGTCAGCCCCCGCCCCTTCGCCCCCCTCGGCACCTGCCTGGGAGGCTCCGGCCGGGCTCCGAGCGGCGGCGACGTGGCCTCCTCCTCCTCCTCCTGTTTGCTCCGGCTCCCTCGCTGGTTCCGGCGGCGCTAGAGACGGGCACCGGGAGCCGGGGCGAGGGGGGAGGGAGGGGGAACCTGGAAGATGGGTGAGGGGGAGGGGGCGGCTTGGGGGAGGGGTAAGCGCGAGGCAGACGCACTTGCCCGCTGGGTCCTAGAGCCCGGCATTGACATCGCGAACAGCCCCCCAACCCCCATTTTTTCAGGCTCCAGAAAGGATCTCCTACTTTCCCACCCATCGGCGCCACCGGTCCCTGAGGATGTGGGGAAGGGGTCCGGGATACGTCTTGGTCTCAATGTTCTAAAGAGGCGAGGGTCTACGTTTTGGGTACTAAATAGGAGGGGCTGGGTGCCTGGCTGGGTTCAAAAAGGGATGGGGCGAGAACGGAGCGTTCGCAAGGGGGCGGGGTCGGAGGGCCTAAGGAAGGAGAGGGTGAGGACGCCGAAGGCGCGGACAAGCGCGTGCGTCACGGAAAGGGCGGGTCCACGGTGGAAGGGCATTCTGGGCGGGCCCGAGGCAGGAGAGGGTCTTGGGAAGACAGGTGGCGAAGTCCTAAAGGGGCGGAGCTTATAAGTAAACTGTCTTTAGGGGCCGGACGACCAAGAGTTCCAAAAGGGAGGAGTTACGTAGCAGTGTTCGTAATGGGCGGGGCTTCAGGAGAGGGAATGACGAGGGGTGGGGTATTTAAAAGGGGAGGGGCTAAGAAAAACGCTCTAAAGGGGTGGGGCCTAGGACTACAAGGCCTGGGGGCGGGGAATTTCAAGTATTTCAAGAGGAGATTCAGGTTCGTAAGGGGCCGTGCTCAAGCTGGCTCACAGGAGGGCGGGGCCTCGAGCCCGGGGGCGGGGCCTAGATCTCGGGGTCCACCCTCGCTGTCTCGCCCACTTGCCTTCACCCGCACCCCCGTTCTTTTCGGTTATTTCTGCTACGGCCGTTCCTCGCCCTGCCCTGGCCCAGGGGCCGCGGTCTGACTTGGTCGGCTGGAGGAGTCGG